ACACCTCTGGATGGCACCGAGAGTGATTCCAGTGGACCCAAATGACATCGGGCACTTCTCTGCAAAATAAACTTTTTTTAAAATGATGACCTGATGTAATGCCTTGCTAAGAGTAACTTTGGAATTTGAAGTGTATTAACCCTAAAGTAACCTTCTATTAGCAGTTTTGAAAATTGACCAGTAATAATCCCAATGACCTCTACTAATGCCTTGCTAATTGGATACTTTGAAAACTGGCCTATAGTCACCCTACTGACCTCATGTGACCCATTGTTAATTGGACACTTCAGAAGTTGACCTATAGTAACCCCAATGACCTGAGGTAACCCTGATGCTAATTGGGAATTTTAAAAGTTGACCTATAGTAACCCCAATGACCTCAAGTGACCCCTTGCTAATTGGAAACTTCAAAGGTTGACCTATAGTAACCCCAATGACCTCAAATAACCCCTCACTAATTGGAAACTTCAAAAGTTGACCTATAGTAACCCCAATGACCTCAAGTAACCCCTCACTAATGGGAAACTTCAAAAGTTGACCTATAGTAACCCCAATGACCTGAGGTAACCCTGATGCTAACTGGGAATTTTGAAAGTTGACCTATAGTAACCCCAATGACCTCAAGTAACCCCTCGCTAATTGGAAACTTCTAAAGTTGACCTATAGTAACCCCAATGACCTCAAGTAACCCCTCACTAACTGGAAACTTCCAAAAGTTGACCTATAGTAACCCCAATGACCTCAAGTGACCCCTTGCTAATTGGAAACTTCAAAGGTTGACCTATAGTAACCCCAATGACCTCAAGTGACCCCTTGCTAATTGGAAACTTTAAAAGTTGACCTATAGTAACCCCAATGACCTCAAGTGACCCCTTGCTAATTGGAAACTTCCAAAAGTTGACCTATAGTAACCCCAATGACCTCAAGTGACCCCTTGCTAATTGGAAACTTCAAAAGTTGACCTATAGTAACCCCAATGACCTGAGGTAACCCTGATGCTAACTGGGAATTTTGAAAGTTGACCTATAGTAACCCCAATGACCTAAAGTAACCCCTCACTAATTGGAAACTTTAAAAGTTGACCTATAGTAACCCCAATGACCTCAAGTGACCCCTTGCTAATTGGAAACTTCAAAAGTTGACCTATAGTAACCCCAATGACCTGAGGTAACCCTGATGCTAACTGGGAATTTTGAAAGTTGACCTATAGTAACCCCAATGACCTCAAGTAACCCCTCGCTAATTGGAAACTTCAAAAGTTGACCTATAGTAACCCCAGTGACCTCAAGTAACCCTGCCACTAATTGGGAATTTTGAAAAGTTGACCTATAGTAACCCCAATGACCTCAAGTGACCCCCTCAATGGGAATTTACTAGTTGACCTATAGTAACCCCAAGGACCTCAAGTGACCCCTTGCTAATTGGAAACTTTAAAAGTTGACCTATAGTAACCCCAGGGAACCGCTATGCTAACTGTGAATTTTGAAAGTTGACCTATAGTAACCATCCACTCATTGGAAACTTTAAAATTTAACTTATAGCAACTCCAGTGACCGCAACCCCTCCACTAACTGGCAAATTCAAAAGTTGACCTATAGTTGACCCAATGGCTTAAAGTAACCCCTCACTAGTTGGGAATTTTTGAAAGTTAATTTGTATTTGAACGTTTTGAAAATTGACCTATAGTGAACCTAATAACCTCAGGTAGCCTCTCTGCTAATTAGAAACATTAAGGCTGCTTCTCTAGTGACCTTATTTCATCCCCATTCATTAGACAATGTATATTCACCATCTCCAGTAAACCCTTTTTGACCCCCTGCTAAGTATGGTATGTATGCGGTGTATCTCCTGTAACCTTATTGGACTCCTATTAATTCAATCATTCATATGCGGCATCACCAGTGGCCCTATGAGATCCAGTGTGGTGTAGTCGGACTAGTATCTGGGAGACCTGGGTTCGAGTACTTACTCTGCTGTGGAAGCTTTGCTGAGTGACCTTGGGCCAGTCTCACACTCTCAGCCTAACCTACCTCACAGAGTCGTTTTGAGGATAGAGGAGAGGAGAATGCTGTAAGACCCTTTGGGTCCCATTCCCCACTAGGGTGAATAGCAGCTCTTTAAAATAAGCTAGGACGCAAAACAGCACTTACTAAGTTAACATTTACTTTATTAATATAGCAGTCCTCAGACTAGAAAACAAGCCTAAGATCTGCGAAACTGACGTGGAAGTTTCAGGTATCTTCGTTGCCTCAATGGGAAGGGCAAGATACCCCACTGAAATCTGGTTTCTGGTCACCGCCATCCTCACCACTGCAGGTGGTGGGGGTCACAGAGAGCAGGTTGCACAGCACAGGTGGTGGGCCTTCTGGTAATCTGGCCCCAATTCTGGGTATAAGCTTTCATCTGCACACATGGTTCATCAGATCATATCTGGTGAAGTGTGCATATACACGAAAGCTGATGCCCAGAATTAAACTTTGTTGGTCTTAAATGTGCCACTGGACTCAAACTTTGTCCCACTGTTCCTCGACAGACATATAGTCAAGGTCTGTTGGGAAGTTTGCCTGCAGAAAATTGACATTTACACTCCAGTGCCTTAGATGGTATTAAACTACATAATTTATTATGTAAACAGAGTAGCAGACTGTACTGTTACACAAAGCTTAGGTTTTATAAAGAAGTACAACTATTTCAATTTGTTAAGTGTACATTTTCCATAGCTTCAGGATTTCCAGAAATTTTACATCTAGCTGTAGGCTCCGTAGCCTGTTTGATTTTGTGAATGCCTGCAGGTTAGAAAACTAAAAGGGTTGCAAAGTTTTAAAAAAAGTTTTCCTTATGCCTCTCAGAACAAAGTTTGAGTCTAGTGGCACCCTTAAGACCAACCAAGTTTAATTCTGGGTATCAGCTTTTGTGTGCAGGCACACTTCTTCCAACACAGCTTCCCACCTGAATCTATCTTATAAATAAATCTTATGCCTCTCAGTTATTAGAAGCTACAAAGTCAGCTTTCTCTTAAGACACCCAGAAATAGTGCCACACAACTGGAAGGCAAGAGAAATTTACAGGGAGATTCCTTGCAGAGATTTAGCTAGCTCAGCGAAGTAACGGAGCTTAAAGAGGCAGTGACAAGTAAAAACCTCACAACTCAAATCCTCCTCTAGGCGTCCATCGTATCATTGGCTTGCGACTAAGCCCCAGAAAAAGGGAATGATGCACAAGTTGAGCCCTGGTGTCTGGGCAATCTAGGCCTATTTCTGGATCAGAGGACCAATTCATCTCAGAAGCTAAGCAGGGTCATCCCTGGTTAGCACTTGGATGGGAGACCACCAAGGAAGTAAAGGGTTGCTGTGCAGAGGCAGGCAATGGCAAACTACCTCCAAATGCCTTTTGCCTTGAAAACCCTACAAGGTTGCCGTTAAGTCGGCTGCAACTCAATGGTGCTTTCCATCACCAGGGCTGCGGTGAGGGGAGTGTAACTTAGCATCCCGGTTTCTGCTTAACACTCGGAGTTTTGATCAAGACCAGTAGCCGTGTTTGTCTGCAGCAGTAGAAAAGAGCAAGGGTCCAGTAGCACCTTAAAGACTAACAACATTTGTGGCAGGGTAGGAGTTTCTGGAGGAGTGAGCAGTGACTCACGAAAGCACATACATTGCCACAGATTTTGTTAGTCTTTAAGGTGCCACTGGACTCAGAGTTTAGAATATCACATTTCTGATTAATGCAGCAGCTGGAATCTTCCCCAGGGCAGGGAGACGCTGAACTCCACCCATATGAGCTGTCTAGCCACCCTCCAAGGTCTCCCTCAGCTAAGGATGGATTTTGTTCACCGCCATCTTACCTTGAAAAAGCAATTCCCCTTTCTGTGCAAGAAAACTGTGTGTGGATTTTTAGAAGCTTTCTCAATCTAAGTGAAATAGGAACAATTCACACACGGAAATACATGCTGAGGCTTGGTGAGTGGGAAAACACTTATTTTCTCAGTGCAAACCAAAAAGCAATTGCCCACTTAGCAATGAAAGCTGGATGCACCTCTGCGCTGGTCATTCAAGGCCCCCCCCAAAAAATATTTTAAGTGGTACAGTCTGGAGAAGCTGAATTGGATATTGAGGGGTTTTTTGGATGAACATTCAAGCATGCAGACCACCCCATGTAGTCTGTAGTGGTACAGTCCCAAGATAAGGGATGAAGGATGGAGGTTAAGGCTAGACCATTTTAGCTACAAGGCCTGGCTCCAGACTCATTTTCTGCAGGTAACAAGGACTTTCACCAGTGGAGTGCCATTTTCCTGCCCCCACAACAGCCTGAAATGACTCATTAAATACTGTTCAGTGACAGCATTTCAGGCTGCCACAGAGATGGTATCACCCTCTTGAAGGACTGCTACCTGTGAAGATATTAGGGATGGATCCAGCCACCTTTTTGATTCAATCTCACCCAATTCCCCTAAAGAGGAATTCCACCCAACTTTCATCCACAGAGATCCTGTGACATACAGCATAATCTTCCTCCCCAGAAGCAAGGCTGGATGGATGCAACCCTTTGCCCGAATTGAACCCTAAACCTATTTTGTGTGGTGGGATTTTCTCTTTTTTGGTATCTTTCCTCTGCCACCCTACAATCCAGGTTTTTGTTTGAGGGAAAAGAAAAGAAGAGCCACAGTACACCAGAGAGTACAATTCATATATTATCCAGTTTCACATTCATAGGATTATAGCAACTTATTCTCAAGGATCTGAATACAAGCGAGACAGCCATGGTCCAATATAATAATACTTAAAGCACTTCCAATACCAAGCAATAAAATGTCAAACAAAAAAATTGCACAAATTTCTTGTTACTATGCCTGACTGAATCTGTTACAGAAAGTTTTTCTCATTTTCTCCTCTTCAAGCTTTTTTTTTGTTTTTAAACTAAACATTTAACTTATCTTACAGATTACAGTTTCTCTTTAATAATTAATTGCACAAAAAACCACACACAATCTTTTATGAGGCATAAATATTTCCTTATTACACATGGTACAAAAATACTCGTACATCTTTTTTTTTGTTCGGTATTCCCATAAGGATGGCGGATTATTTGGCAGGACTGAAGCCTCTCCAATCAGAGGGATGTGGAGGAAAAAAAAGTTAAATATTTTACAGCTGTTCTATATATAGAAGTCTGACAGAGGAAAAAAACACACACACAAAAACAACCCTGACTTGAACTGGAGGAGAAAAATTGGACGAGAAATCCAGCAGATTTGAATTTTAAAGGAACAACAACTTGCTTCCCCTCCCCAAATTCTAGCTGAAGCAGAAAATGGAAACGGGGCAAGAGTCAGGACACTGTTTTGTCAGACGCCAAGTCCGCACGGAAGCAAGATGAATAAAAACTTCAGTGTTCGATAGCTAGGCCGAGACCTGTTGCTACGGTTACACAAACGCTGGAACAAAAACAAGCTTCGCAACACACATACGTACACACACACACCAAGTCAAAGTGTTGTAAATTCATGCCAGAAATAAACAAAAGAAAAACATGCAAAACCGATTTGTCTCTTCGCTTCCTCCAGCGGTACGGCATAAACACCATTTCAGGATTGGAAAGGCCTGGATATTGCACTGTATACAGCTAGGCCGCAATGCACGCCAGCAGCCCAGCTGGGAAACAAAACCTGGCTATCGCCAAGATCGGGTCTCTCCGACTCGGACTCGACGTAGCAAAAGAGGTGCGGGGGGGGGGGCGCGGGGAGAACGCACATGCCCCTCGGCAACGGGAGTTTGCCGGGACTTAGGCAGAGTGGGAGGCAAGCAGAACACAAGACCATGCAAGTCCACAGTAGGGTAGGGGGGCTGTTGCTATTCACAGTCTCGGACGGGGAAAGCCCACGGCTTCATTCGCGAGAAGCATGGGTTACTGCAGTTAGGCACCTTGTCCGGTGGCCACAGGAAAAAGGTTTTCTCTCGTGGAGGAGGATTTCCAGCGATCCACAGTCTGCTTCATCCCTGGCACATCACTCCACAGAGAGACACGGGGAAGGGGAGGACGTGGGCCGAGAGGCGGCTCTTGAAAGCAAAAGAGTGAAAAAGAGTTACCAAAAACATAGTTAGACGTCTCTCTTTCCAGTCCACTAAGGAACCCTCTCTCCTTTCCCTAATCGGGGCACGCCGATCCCAGGACGATTCTACGTTGATGAAGGAATACAAAGAGCTGTATAAATGACAGGAGACAACCTGGCAATTCCCGTGCAGCAGACCCTCAAGACCAGGGGTCCCCAACATGGGCACCAGGGCACCTGCCAACACCTTTCCCAGAGCTGCCAAATGTTTTGATAGTGGGTGGAGCCAGGTGGAGCTTTTGTCCTTAAAGGCTTCTGATTGGCTGTGCAGATTTTTAAAAGCACTGCTTTGGCAGCAGCTGCCACCACACCCAGGGACCTTTACTGTGTGGCTGAAGGTAAGCTGTGGCAGCCATTTTGTGGCTGGCTCAGCATCCTGCAACTGCCATTTTGTGGTACTACACTATGTCAGAAGTCCAAAGGTACCCACAGGCTCCAGAAGGTTGGGGACCCCCTGCTCAAGATGTACAAAAGGGATTCTCCTTCCAGGCTGCCTTGTGAGGTAAGGAATCAGTTACCAATTCCACAGCTTCAATAAAGAGAGGGAAGAAGAGACTGGACTTATACCCCACCCTTCACTACCCAAAGGAGTCTCAGAGCAGCTTACAAACTCCTTTCCCTTCCCCTCCCCACAACAGACACCCTGTGAGGTAGGTGGGATTGAGAGAGCTCTCCTGAGATCTGCCCTTGAGAAAACAGCTCTGAAAGAACTTATGACTGACCCAAGGTCACACCAGCAGCTACATGTGGAGGACTGGGGAAATCAAACCCGGTTCTCCCAGATTAGAGTCCGCGCTCTTAACCACTACACCAAACTCAGGTGAGGCTGGACTCTGGCCACCTTGCAACTGGTAAGTAGAACAGGGTGGCTGTGTATACTTGGGAGATTCAAACCCAGCTCCCCTCCAGTCCAAGGTCAATATGAGTGGTGGGACCGTGGCTCAGCGGCAGAGCACTTGCTTGGCATACAGAAGGTCTCAGGTTCCATCCCTGGCATCTCCCAGTTGAAGGATCTCAGGTGACAGCTGATGGAAAAGACCTCTCCTCGCCAGAGACCCTGGAGAGCAGCTGCCAGTCAGAGTCGACAACACTGACCTTGACAGACTCAGCAGAAGACCACTTCAAGTGTGTTCACGTGTACTATTCCACACGTATTAAAGCAAAGGCTGCAGCAACTTGGGTTTGCCTTGGAACAGAACTGGAGTTACAGATTTCTGCACCACAAAGGCCCATTCATAGCAGAACTCAGATTAAGTCCTCTGCTAACCATTTGGATAGCCCAGGCTAGCCTGACCTTGGGCAATTCTGCATCTAGCATTCGCTCCACGTTTTCTCGACTGGGAGGAGAAAGTACAGCTCAAAGCCACATTCAAATACCCACTGACTGCAATGTCACCCCTGAACGGCCATAAATCTATGCAGAAAGTGCAATAAAATCCAAGGATCAAAGAACTCAAAAGTGGCATGGAGTGTGGAAGCTACCATAAAACCCAATGATCAAAGGAAACGAAAGCAGCGTGCAGTGCAGGGGGGAATTTCTGTTCCAATGTGGGTTTCGTAAAACAACAGAGTGAAAAGCCAATGCAGAATCAGCCCTCGGCAGAACCCTGCTTAGTATTTGGATGGGAGACCTCCAAGGAAGCCCAGGGTTGTGACACAGAGGCAAGCAATGGCAAACCACCTCTGAATGCCTCTTGCCTTGAAAAGCCCATGAGTCATTTGTGACCTGACCCCGGGGGGGGGGGGAGATCTAACCATCTGGGAGGCAGGTGCGGCTGCTCAGCTACCCCTCCAATGTCAACCCAGGCATGTGGCATACATATGGGGAAGAGACCGGGACGTGTGCCTTGCAATTACCCCAGCCTGTGTCAGAAAAACAAAGTCAGCTTCAATTTGCCATGACACGCTGAATCAGCCAGGAGGGAAGGAGGAGGAAAATGTGGAATGACCAGATGTGGCAGATGTTCTTCTGGGAACAGCCATGAAATACCCAAAGACTCTCTAAAGGCTCAGATGTTAAGCAAGCAAACAGACAAACCCCAACATGCTCAAAGCCCCGTCCGCAAGGCAAGATACTCACTAAAAACTAACAGAACTGACGAGATTTCCATCCTTGTTGGGTAGCTTCAGAAGGAGGATACCAGCGCATCTGGGAAGAGAGAGAAACGATGTGATGGAGAAGCTCGAGACATGGCAAAACACGGGCGGTAACTGCGGTTGCCCTGACCTGGGTGGCACAGGCTAGCCTAATCTCGTCAGATCTAGGAAGCTAAGCAGGGCTGGCCTTGGTTTGTACTTGGATGGGAGACCACCGAGGAAGTCCAGGGTCGTGACACAGACAATGGCAAACCACCAATGAACTTCCCCTTGCCTTGAAAACCCTACGGGGTCGTCATAAGTCAGCTGCGACTTGATGACATGTTGGAACATCAACTGTACTTAGGGTGTTTCTTCCTAGCTACCTAGTATTACTGAAGGCTTCCAAACCCCCCAAGCCTAATATAGCCCCATCTAGTGCTGCAACTGTTCACGCTCCTTTCTGCACAAGGAGGCAAGCCAGCTGACCCAACTCCGGCACGATCCAAAAGAGCTACTCTAAGAAACCACTGGGAGGGGAAAAAATAACTGCATCTCACCCAGATTGCAAGCTCACACGTCACTAAGAGAAAGGAGCCGATTTCACACCTAGCTTCAGGCTACTGCAAGACACCCTGCTCATGGTGGCCACCTCTCATGAGCAACCTACAATCAGTTCTTTCCATGCAACCTATCACTGATCATAGCACAAGGAATGTGTTCTAGCTACTGATTCCCGTAGCCAATGTGCACACGCTATTGACCAGTCTTTCTGCGGTTAAGAGGGTTTAGTGGTAGAACACCTGCTTGCCATGCAGAAGGTCCCAGGTTCAATCCGTGGCATCTCCAGTTTAAAGGATCTGGTAGTAGGTGATGTGAAAAACCTCAGCCTGGGACCCTGGAGAGCTGCTGCCAGCCTGTGTAGACAATACTGACTTTGACAGATCAAAAATCTTGGACAATGGGGTTCCTCCACCTTCAAGTGGAAGGTGTATACAAGAAGCCTGTTGACCACAGATGCAGCAGGGCAACACCCACACAGGAAGCTGCCTTATACTGAATCAGACACTTGGTCCATCAAGGTCAGTATTGCCTACTCAGACTGGCAGGGGCTCTGCGGGGTCTCAGGCAGAGAAATGTCTTTTCACATCACCTACCCAGCATCAGCCGTAGACAAGACGGAATATGCCCTGAAAGGAGTGGAATGTTGGTAGGCTAAGTGGTTCAGAGTCTCCAGGGCAGAGACAAGGAGAAAATGTGTGCAGGGGGGGGGGGGGGACACACCAGACAAGAGAGCCACGCAGCATGCTCTGTTCGGCGCCCTTAGCAAGAGGCTAACCTGCTTTTAGCTAACTGGGGTAGTATCTCTTCCTCTTCACCCCAGACCTTCTCAGTACCCTGGCACTGGATTACAGCTGGATCTACTCCGTAGCTATTCACCTCAGGATTCTATACTCTCCAGGGGCCCCTGTTCCCTGAGGAGTAATCTGCCCCATTTTGCCTTTTGAACAGCATATTAGCTGACGGGCAGTAGGTTCAGGACAGACAAAAGGAAATCCTATTTTATGCAGGGAATGATTTAAAGGTGGAATTCACCATCAGAGGATGTCGTGATGGCCACAGGAATAAACAGCTTTAAAAGGGGGTTAAGCTAGATTCATGGAGTATAAGTCTATCAATGGCTACCAGCCACAGTGACTGAGAGGAACCGCCACATTCAGAGGCACTAAGCCTCTGAATCCCAGAGCCAGGAGGCAATGTTAGGGGAAGGCCTCGGCCTCTCTGCCCTGTTGCTGACCCTCCAAAGGAACTGGCTGGCCACTGTGTGAGACAGGAGGCTGGACTAGGTGGACCCTCACTGGTCTGATCCAGCAGGGCTCTCCTGGTGTTCTTAGGTTGACCTAGATTGCAATTGAGCCAGGACTCCACCCTTCAAGATACAGCTAGGCAAGACCCAAGAGACTCTCCATGGGGGCTTCTCGATGTGTCAACTAGAGGGAAACTGAATGTCACTGTTTGGTTGTCAAAAATTCCAGTTGCCGACACTGCTGATCTTTGCTCCAAGCAAAAAAAATAAGAAATAAATCACAGCTGGCAGTCTTACCACACACGTTACCAAAAATCAGTTCTCTCTCTTAAAAACTGATGCCTTCCCTGGGATTTGTGTGTTGAAAACTGCATCAGTGGTGTATAAAGAGTGCCAAAGAAATCAAGCGAAGATGACAGCGTATGACAATTAACCAAAAAAAGGGGGGTAGCCTGCCTTTGCTAGCATAAGCACTGATTTCCTCTAGAGCCTGCCCCTAATCAACATTCAGTCTTTCCATCAGGTTCCCTAATTCTCTGCCTCCATGTAAGGTTGAAACGATAACGTGCTCAAGGGTCACCGCAGCGAGTTCTCAGACGCCACTGGGCCTCCAGTTATCTGTACCATTCCTAGCAAGCATTCTTTTCTCAACTGACATCCACGCCGATAGTCATGTTTCACATTCTCACACACACACACACACACACCCTCCTCCCCATGGTTCAGTGTGTAAGCATTTCCCAGATTCCCAAACCCCTCTCCCCCGCACATCTGGAATCAGTTTTGTCCATCCTGCCCGGCAGCTGAATGGGAACAGGAAAGCTCCCTGCGCTCTGCTCTTTCACCCTGGAAAGCAAAGCCCTGGGCGGAGGATAACTGTGGATCCAGCTGGAGGGAGGAAAGGAAAGAGGCTGGGATTCATGGAAGGCCGGTTTTGCAGAGGGTACCGCTGCTTGTTACAGGCAGATGTTTGGGGCTTCTCTGCTCGGAGTAGAGGGAGGAAGAAGAGATTGGATTTATACCCCGTCCTTCACTCGGGAGTCTCAGAGCGGCTTACAGTCTCCTTTCCCTTCCCCTCTCCGCAACAGACACCCTGTGAGGTAGGTGGGGCCGAGAGAGGTCTTTCGAGGACTGCTCTGAGAGAACTTGTGGCTCACCCAAGGTCACACCAGCAGCTGCATGCGGAGGAGTGGGGAATTAAACCTGGTTCTCCCAGATTAGAGCCCACGCTCTTAATCACTACACCAGACTAGACCAAACTGAGTAACACCCCCACCCCAAGGCTTATTCTACCAATATGGTATTACCACCTGCCCCAGTTCTTCCAAGAATTACCATCCTGCCCATCGATAGGCTCCCCCCCCAATCTATAGGTGTTCCTCCACCCAGTCACAGACCACTGCTTCTCCATACCACCCAACAGCGTATGATTGCATAACAAACCCGTCCCCCTCCAAAACCATGCTAAATCCACCATCATAAACCCAGAACAATAATAAACCACCCCCCCCCATTAAGCCCCCCCCCCCATGACCTTCCCCTTCGGCTGTTGTATCATCCGATGGAAAGGAAGCAAGAAAGGGGGAGTGGAACAGAGAGTCAGGACTCTGCTTGGGAAGAAGGAGGAGGAGAAGAGAGAGAGAGAGAGAGTTTGTGTGTGTCGGAAGGAGGATTTTTCCCAGACTCCGGCAAGGAAGGAAAGAACGTTTTTCCTTTGCGGGAGTCCGCAGCGTGGGAGACATGTGCCAAGTTGACTGTGCAGGGGAAAGGGGGGGGAATAGAATCAAAACCGTGTTCTCTGCTACTGCTACGAGCCACCTCCTCCCATGGTGATTGTGGTGGAGTGAAACACAGGTGGCCTGGAGACCCCCCCTCCCCTCCCCTATGCCGTGGTGCCACGTCGTGTCGTGTGCCAAGTTGGCCAGAGGTGGGTTAGAGAAAAATTCCTGGCATTTTGTTCGCCTGGGTGTGGATAGCGTGAGACCCATGCACTGGATTGCTGAGGAAGAAGATGGACGAACCAAAAAAAAAAACCCCACAAAGCTCGTGACCCCCCCCCCCCCCGCATCGTGCCCAGTGGCAGAGAGGAGAGATCGCCTTACCAGCCTTTCCAGACGGGGCCCACCATCCTTTTAAAGGCCTCTAGGAATGAAACTGCTCTACGGCCAGCTCCACTCTAGCTGGGAATGGACAGAACTATGGTGGTCCCACCTCCGGGGCCAGCTCTGAGCTTCAGGGCCGGCCAGCATCGGCAATCCTGGCCGCAGATCACTGAAGACATCAAAGGAGGGATCATTTCAACCACGGGCTGGCCAACAGGGGTGCCCCCCCAGGGGACAAGGAAGCTTGCTTTGGCGGGAACCACTAGGGCAGGGGTCCCCCAACACGGGACCCGCGGGCAGCCTGGTGCCCACTTGACACCTTTCCCTGGGGCACACCAGAGGCTTTTTTAGATGGGCGGGGCCAGGTGGGGATTTGGCCCAACAAGGCTTCTGATTGGCTGAACAGATTTTCAAGAACATTGCTTTGGCAGCAGCTGCTACCGCAGCACAAGAATCTTCACTGTGTGGCTGAAGGTCAGCTGGGGCAGCCATTTAATGGCCAGGTCCACCTCCAGGGGCAGCCGCTGTTTTGGGGCAGCCATTTTGTGGCTGCACCCAACCATGCCATGTCACCATTCTAAAGGTGTCCACAGGCTCAAAAAGATTGGGGATCCCTGCACTAGAGGTACTTACCTGCTGTGCTGCCTAGCACCCTCTTCTGGAAAGGGGGGGGGGAACTGACATTCAGTAGCAAGCAATGCTCCCTCTAAGCTGTAGAGTCTTGTGAGCAAAAACTCTACTCTGTGAGCTACTAGCATTGAGGTTGTGAGCGAGCGATTTGGCTGCTGCATAGATTAGTTTCCTCTGGAGCCCTCCTTCCTGAGCCGAGACAAAAATGTGTGAGCCGGAGGCTAAGAAACTGTGAGCTGGCTCACACTGACTCAGCTTAGAGGGGACACTGGTAGCAAGGCCAGGGCACATTTTGAGCCCTGAAAGGGCTAGCGATTGAGGCTCTTTCCATCACTGGGGCTAGCAAGCAGAGGGCCTGGCCACAGTTTGATCACTTATCCGTGGCAGGGGAGGGGGCCAAAGGGCAGGCAGACCCTGGAGATGTTTCAGCAAGTTGACAGTTCACGTACAAAGTGTGGATGGACCCATAACGGCGGCCTTACTGGAATCCAGTATGCAAGATGCAGTTTTGTCTTCGCACTGGTTCTGAGCAAGGCCACGCCCCTTCTTTGGGCTACTGACCCGACCCCCCCCCCAAAAAAAACCCCTCTGGCACAAACTGCTTGCAGCTAGAGCAGTACTTTCCCAAATAGCCAAATTGGCTTTGCTGGCCTTCGACAAAACAAAAACAAAGCAGAAACAAAAAAAAAATCCGCAAAAGCAAACTGGCTGTACAGCACTGCAGTCCCATCCTCGTTTATAATGTGATCCCCAATTGGCTTGGATCACCTATGAGACTAACGGAGGAAGTGGATATGCTGTCATTGGAAGGTAGCAGCTGGCGTAGCGAAAGGCAGGGGGAGCACAATGAGGACCGAATGTTCTCGCTCCTTCCAGGGAGACGATCTGCTGTGGCGGAAGTGTGGGCCCAGGGCGGGTACGGATGCTGACCGGCCAGCTCGCTCACCGTATGGTATGGCACTGTGGCTGAGCGCTCCTAGTGGTCAGCTCCCTCACAGGGAGAGGGAGGGCCTAGGCAGTCATCTCACCAGGTCAGGCTGCTGCTCTGCACTCCGGGGCCAGTGTCCCCCCCCCACCCCCACCCCGCTCTTCTCCCTCCCCACCCATTCATTAACATATCAGGCCCCCAGCCTAGGGACCAAACGGAGTTCTTAAGCTGCCAATTGCTCGGCAATCGGGAGGCGAGGTAATGTTTAACCCCATAAAGTTTTTTTTATGAGTAACACATTTTGTTTCCAGAGAAAGCACTGGTGGGGGTGGGGGAGCACAAGGACTTGACAGAAAACTGGGCCTCAAAGCAGACGGACGAGGCTCTGTCCTGTGGTCTCCGGAGACGGGAGGGTCCCCGCTGGTAAGTGTGGGCGTTCTTCTTCAGGCCTGTCTCAAGCTGGAGTCCCTTACCTTGCACGTAGCCAGATTTTGTTTATTATACCGGCCTTGCCATCTCAATATGCTTCTGTGTGGGAGAGGCACTCCTTGTTATAGAGGCAGGTGCAAGCCTATGGGGTTTATTGAGGGATTCGCCTGGATGACATGCTTCTACGCAGCAACATAACCAGGGCTGCCCCTAGTGTTCCTTTGGGAGGACAAGGCGAGTACCCGCGGGCACCCACAAGATCAGAAGGCTGTAAAAGCCAAGCTGAACAGCTGCACTTTCCTGTAAGCATAGGAAGCTTTAAATTTAATCCACTGCTAACTATTAATCCACCCTTGGCTAATAGGCTGGTCAATTTGGGAGTTCTGGCTCCAGCACCGTTATATATCAAGGGCCTGGTTTCAGAACAGCTGTGCTTCCAAAGTCACCATCCCTTTAATGATAGGAGTCTGGCTCCTTTTCTGGAATTCTTCAGAACAGACCAAATCCAGCACTACTCCCCACTCCGCCAATATGAGAGCCCACTCACAAGCGGATTTACTCTCGCATGGCTACTGATGGTTCAGGAACTCCTGGGGGGGGGGTGTTGAGAGAGAGGAGAGACCCACACTCTTGCTCAGCCCTTCCTTAGCCAACGGGGCCCTCCCTTAGCCAACTGAGTCGCTTGGGCTACTCCTTCCACCTCCTAGGAAGTCAGCATTGCGTCTTATTTTGGCAGAGTTCAGAACTAGAACTCGGGCCGCTCGCCAAACCCGAGGCCGGCTCTGAGTCTGGGAGTTTCCTCTCCTTGCAGCTCCAAGATCAAGAAAGGGACAGACTGTTTGGGTGCAGCCAGATCAGCCCGAACAGGTCTGGGAACTAGGAGGCGTGTACAGCACTGAGCGACTCCGTGGCACTCTCCACTCTGGAGTGGAGTTTCCCAAGCTCAAGTCCGGCATTATGGACCTCCAAAAAGCTCGCAGGGGGTGGGAAAAGATGTGTCTTTCTGTCTCTCTAAGAGAAGGGGTTGGGGGATGCAAAGCCTCACCTGAGCATGGAGGGCGGCAGCGGCGGCCGCAGCAGCTGGGTACGTGAAAGCAGCGTGCGGGATGGCGGGAGTTAACTCCGTGGTGTAGAGTGGGTAGGGTGCCCAGGCCTCCGGAGATGCTGGAATCAGAGCTGCTCCGGTCAGGTCATCTAGACATGGAGGAGAAGGGGGAGAGGAATAGCAAAATCCACAGTGAAACGCAGCACAGCACTGGAAAGAGACCGCACGGAGGCAGAGGCCCACCTAGCAGGGGGACGCTAAAGGCATCTGACAAGCCGTTGATCTCCGTTGCTCACACAGCACCAAGCGGTTCGGCGCAGCTACAGCTGGGGAGTTCCTCTCGTGCCTCGAGGCCAAACAGTGGCCCACAGTTCCGCTTTCTACTTGGCACTAAAGTAGGGACTCATCAGATCTTGGAAGCTAAGCAGGGCCAACCCTGGGAAGTACTTGGAAGGGGGACCCCCAAGGAATGCTAGGGATGGGACACAGAGGCAGGCAAGAGCAAGCCAGCTCTCTGAAATGTCCGAGCCCTACTAGGGGTTGCCAGAAGTCAACTACGACTTCCAGGCACACAACATACTCACAAAATAAAGCAGGGTCTCCATTCCCACAGGTGTTTCCTGGACACTCTTTTCCCTGAGCACAAAACGCAAAGCTTGCTGTTCTGCACGTGGCCAAGGGCTGCTTCAATACAAAGCTCATCAGGAGAGCTCCGCCTTTTCCCTGCTCAAGGTCCCAGGTTCAAGGCCCAACATGTCCCCCTGAAAGGAAGCTGGACAGCAGGGCCTCCGCGGGGTAGCCACAGAGTAGCCAATGCTGGGCCGGAGGGACCAATGGTTGGCGCAACGCACCCTCCTGTGCCTTGCACATGACTCCATTAGGCATGCATGCTGTACGGGGGTCCTCAGCCGCAGCGAGCTGGGGATCGGCTCCCCATGGGTTCAGTGGGGAATGAACCCGTGTGGTATAGCGGTCAGAGGCCCAGACTAGCAGGCCCAAGTTCAAATCTCTACTCAGCTCGCAGACCTTGGACCCGTCACGGCTTAACTTGCCTCACAAGGCTGTTGTGAAGATGAGAGAGAATTGTGTAGAGTGGCTCTGAGCGCCTCAGGGGGAGGGCAGGATTAAAAGGATACTAGAGGTGAGGGCGGCCTGACCTTCAGGGCCCAGGCTAGCCTGCCCTCATTAAGATCTTGGAAGCTAAGCGGGGTCAGCCCTGGTCAGTATTTGGATGGGAGACCACCCAGGAATACCAGGGTCATGATGCAGAGGTGGGCAAGGGCAAAACTACCTCTGTTCACCCCTTGCCTTGAAACCACCACAGGGTCGCCACGAAGTCCACTGTGACTAGAGATGTAAAATTTCCGGAATTTTTGAAGCTCGGAAAAAAAACGGGTTTTATCCCGGGAAAAAACGGAATTTTTCAGAAAAATTGAAAAAAAATGCTACATTAGCATTTCTTTTGTCTTTTCTAGTTTGAAAGTCCTTCTGTTACTTTAGGAACATAAACTATGACTATGGACACTTTTACTTGGCATGAAATTATCACAACTAGCATATTAAAAATATAGTGTATCCAAACAATTATTACAGAATACCCACCCACATGCAAAAACAAAACTGACACTTTTTTATTTTCTTCTGACAATCGCACCTCCTAAAGGAAGAAATGCATCTTGTTCTTGTATTGGAGAGTTCAGTTTGTAACCTAGGACTTGCTTGTCCTCAATGCACAGAAATTACATCAATCTGATACCATCTGATATGATTTGGAAAATATTTGAACACCTGGTCTTAAAATATTTTATTCATCATGTTAAAATAAAATGTTCCATAATCAATTTTTTTCTTTTCTTTTTTCAATTTTTCCAATTTTTCAGAAAAAACCAAAAAGGCTTCAGGAAAAAAACGGGAAAAAACCATTTCGTTTTTTTCCCCGGGCCTTCACATCTCTAACTGTGACTGGATGGCCCCTTCTACCACCACCAAAACAAGGGGCAGGTTGCTCCCTGCTTTGCAGAGCACATCTAAAGCCCAGCAAAGACACACCGGTCCCCCCCACCCCACCCCCACCCCCACCCGTGCTCCTCACAGGGGGCCCGTGCAATGAAGTGCGCTCCCAGGGCAGGGTGGAGGTTGGTGGGATTTGGCGTGGCCATCAGCTTGCTCTTGGCCATCTTGGTGTTGGCTTTCGCAAACTCTAACCGCAACGTCTGGGGGTTCTCCGGGTCAAAGCGGATGCCCTGCAGGGGGGAGACAGAAGAAGAAGAAGAGGGTACATTCTCTGAAGAAGACATAAACGGGAGGAGGAGACCGGTTCGCTATGCTCCCGCCTCACCCTTCCCAGGAAGCGGGATGCGCCGACTCGCGCAATGGAGACCAGTGGCAAAGCCCTGTGGTGGACCGTACCATTTCAGACGGCAGGCAAAAACAAGTTTTTGAATGCTCCCTATATAAAGAGGTCCTGGCCGGTAGAACGTTAGAGAGATTCTGTTCTTGTTGTTAGCTATTCAGTCGTGTCTGACTCTTGGCGACTCTCTGGGCCAGCTCTAATCCACGTTTTCTGATCTTGTACTGTTTCTTTGAGTCGTTCCACGTGGTTTTGACTTTTATGGTGTCTAACCACCCTGTTCTCTGGCGGCCAGATTTTCTTTTGCTGCTAACCAATCCAGGCATAATTGCTTTTTCTAGTGAGCTCTTCCGCATGGCATGGCCAAAATTCTAGCTCATCCTATTCCCTGATACACTGGTCGTCTACATGTGGGGAATTTTCTTCCATGGGGGAGAATTCAATTGTGTCGTCTGCAGTTTGAAGTGGTACAGCCCTTTCTACAGCCTCGGGGCTCGGCCGCCTCACTCTGTTGCATGTTTCTGATCCCACCGTTACAGGCAGAACATGCCACCAAGGACAGATTCTCACGACACAGACTCCAGTAACATTTTTGGAGCCATGGAGCCTCTGGAAGCAACCTGTGTGCAATACAGAACATGAGATTTCTTCTCCAGGGAAGATTTCTCAAGGGGGTGGGGGAGGAGAGGAAATTGTTCTGCAAATCTGAACTTAAAGGCTGGCTGTATGTGGTTGCTTATTTGGCTGTACATGGTTGGCTGTACACGGATGCTTATTTGGCTGCCCCTTCCTGCAAAGTCACTGAAACGCCCACCCCATTCCCAGTCACCCCCTCCAGAAGTCCTGCACTTCAAAAAAAAAAAAAGAGAGAGACCGGGAAGCAAGGGACCAACAAGAGAAGCAGTGAGTTAGCAGTCTTTGGCTGAAGTGCCACATTAATGTTAACAATATTGTTGACACATGGCACCAGGGAAGAGTCCAGCTGCAAAGCCAGCGTCAGAATTTATTACTGCCAACATCCCACGAAGTTGAGGCTCACGGATGTACTAAAAGCTCTTCCTCAGGAGCGCTTGCACAAACACTGAACAATGCCCTCTGCGGCAGGATTTTACTGTGCGAAATGGCAAAAATCTACTGGCAAAACGATCGCTAAAGTACTTTGAAAGGGGATTGAAAGTGAAATATTTAACCTGTGTGGAACCACCCAGATGTCAGACTTCAACCTGCTATGGTGTTTGACGCTCTAATGTATAATCTCCCTGTAGCTCTTTCCTTCAAACAGCCAGTTACTGGAGGCAAGCTTCCCAGTGTTGCCCAGTCCCATCTTAGATTAGGAGTCCCCAACGTGATGCCCATGGACACCAGGGTGCCAGTCAGCATCTTTTCCGGCACCCAACAACTGTCTTTAGAAAGTGGATGGGGCCAGGTGGGGCTCTAGCCCAGCAGCGCTTTTCACTGGCCGTGCAGATTAAATTAACATTGTTTCAGCTGCAGCTGCCCCCACAGTGCTGGTTTTACTCTCTCACTCCTCTTTCCCAGTGCATTTTTAAAACCACCTCTCTTCTCCCTCGCACTTAAAGTTCCTGTATGTGGTTGGCTCCGCCTCCTGCAGCAGCCATTTTGTAGTTGCACCCACCACTCAGGGTCAGAATTCCAAAGGTCCCCATAGGCTCTGAAAGGTTGGGGAGCCCTGGCAGAGATCAGCATTCTCTGGTCACCAATAATTCCTGCACTGAGCAAAGGGGTTGGAGTAGGTGACCTCTAGGATACCTTCTAACTCTGTGATATTGGTCTCTTTGAAGAGAGTTTTTCTGCCTAAGTGTTAGCTTTCTTGACTATAGAAGTCATCACCCCCACCTGCCGGCTTGTTATCAGGATTGTTGCTTAGGCTGACAGAGGTGATTAACTTGCAGCAGCTGAGGACTGTCACCTAAAGTGGTTGACAGCTTGCAATTTAGAGATCTATCCTGGTCACAGCTTTCTATTGGCTAAATGGCTTTTCTTTCTGCACTGAGAACTTCAGCCCCACCAGAAAAAGAAGAAGAGACTGGATTTATACCCCGCCCTTCACTACCCAAGGGAGTCTCAGAGCGGCTTACAAACTCCTTTCCCTTCCCCTCCCCACAACAGGCACCCTGTGAGGTAAAAGAAGAAGAAGAGATTGGATTTATACCCCGCCCTTCACTGCCCAAAGGAGTCTCAGAGTGGCTTACAATCGCCTTTCCCTCCCCCTCCCCACAACAGACACCCTGTGAGGTAGGTGGGGCTGAGAGAGCTCTGACAGAAACTGCTCTTTTTCAAGGACAGCTCTTATCAGAACTATGGCTTGCCCAAGGTCATCCAGCAGGTGCAAGTGGAAGAGTGGGGAATCAAACCCGGTTCTCCCAGATTAACCCACGACACCAAACTGGCCCCACAAGCCACAAAATCCTGGCTATGGGCCTGGGAAAGGGAGCTGCCTCCTGGCACACTGACAGACTCCAGAGCTGTCCAGGTTTCCCCTTGCATAGCACCTAGCTCAGTTCCGCGGGTCTGTAAGACAGCGATGTTCTACCAGGCCTATGGTTGAGCAACGATTTCCATGTAGTCTGGCTCCTCCTTTCCACTTTTTCTCCCCCCACCCCAAGAGGTTCGGATACTATTAGGAAACTATTGCTGTCATCTCAAGCATCTCCCGAAATTGCTACTGACCTGTTATTGTCTTAAACTGTTTTAACTGATTTGTGAAGGTAGGTATTGAAACGTTATAAATGTACAGAAGTCGAATAAATAAATTAATTAATAAGGATCACAGGTAGCCACATCACCGTATTTATTTACTTTCTAATTTACATGTTTTGTAGTCTGCCTTTCTCACTTGGACTCAAGGCAGATTACACAGAGTGTGTTAATATAATCGACACCATGGGACGTTTACGGAACAATGCAATAAGACTAGGGTTGTAGAACCTAACAGAAGTCTAAAAACTGAGCTGAATCAAAGCTCAAGTGTTAACATGACACGGGAAATGATGCAAAATTGACACAGAAGGATCCTAGCTTCGGCAAGCTGAACACAGCAGTATAGACCTAATGATTCATCCAAGTAACAGTATAGCGCAACTCTACAGCCTGCACAGAAAAGCCCTCCTGAGTAATTCAGTTTTGCAGTTTCTGGAAAGGCAGGAGAGGGGGAGTCTTCCTGACCTCCTCACGCAGGCCGCTCCACAAGGAGGGGCCACCACAGAGAAGTCCTGTGTTGGACATTTCCCATTCACAATGAACTCAATTGCCTGTCTTCCCACCACATGGTAAAAGAAAATGGGCCCTGTGTCATGTGGGAATATGAACAACTCCCGTGAGGCATGCCCAGGACGAGTTCAGGTTCTCACCGGGAGATTGGCAAGTAGTGCACAAAGTGTGCTGAGTCTGCATGAGTCTGCTGAATTACCGAGAGCACAACCTTTGCAACATTCGAGCAAGAGAGGAGAGTTTTCGCGTAAAGAGCGTTCTGTTAAAGAACATAGTGTGATTCTAGTTAAAGGCTTCTTCATGTAACGTTTTCACTGTCCCATGTGTGAGCCTGTTTGATTCTGAATAAAGCACTGCTGACAGGCAGTCAGGGACAGTCTGGTACAGAGAGACAGATCTGACTGAGAGCCCGGTCAGCAAGCTTCAAGAAATCTGTTGTGGTGTGTCGTTATTGAACCCTCAAAGTCTACAGTGTCACATGTAGATTAGTGGTGTGAGCAGTGTTCCCTCTAAGCTGAGTTAGTGTGAGCTAGCTCACAGTTTTTTAACCTCCAGCTCACACATGTTTGCCTTTGCTCAGGAAGGAGGGCTCCAGAGCAAACTAATTTATGCAGGAGCCAAATCGCTCGCTCACAACTTCGATGCCAGTAGCTCACAAAGTGGAATTTTTGCTCACAAGACTCCACATCTTAGAGGGAACATTGGGTGTGAGTATTGTCCATACGGGCTCGGATCCGGAGCACTCGCCATGGAGGGAATATTTTGCTATGGAACAGAACAGCACCCTGGGCCCAATCCAGTCTGGCCAAATGGGATTTGCAAGGGCTCTCAGTACTCACATTCAAGGCATTCTTGGCGGCTTCTGCACCAGCCCGGCTGTCGAAGGTAACAAAGCCTACCGGCTGGGGGAGATGGAGACAAAAGGCAAACAAGCCACATGAGTGATGAACAAATCCCCTGGCCGCACTGCAAGGCAGCGAGGAAGACTCCCAAGCCCCTCCCGCCCTTCCAAGGGCCCCTGGCTCACCTCTGCTCCATCTCTGGCCTGGCCTCTCCAGACAAGCACCTCAGCCACTGAGCCAGGGCCCCGGCAGAAACCACCCACCTCCCAAGTTAAAATGCCAGTTAAAAGGCAATGTGAAGTAGAGGACACAGCTTGGTGCTCTAGGGATGGAGGACAAGGCGGCAGACAGTCACGATCAGCTAAACCCTCCAGCCTGGCTGTCGGCAAGTTCAGCAGCACTGCCCAGTGGGAAGAACTCCTAAGACAAAAGGCTGGGTTCCCCAGTTGCTGAGGGAAATAGCTGTGCAAGTTATGTCACACACCCCTTTCTGAAGAAGAAGAGATTGGATTTATACCCCGCCCTTCACTACCCGAAGGAGTCTCAGAGCAGCTTACAGTCTCCCTTCCCTTCCCCTCCCCACAACAGACACCCTGTGAGGTAGGTGGGGCTGAGAGAGCTCTCCCGAGGACTGCTCTCGAGAGAACAGCTCTGAGAGAACTTGTGACTGGCCCAAGGTCACTCCAGCAGCTGCATGTGGAGGAAGAAGAAGAAGAGATTGGATTTATACCCCGCCCTTCACTACCCAAAGGTGTCTCAGAGCGGCTTACAAACTCCTTTCCCTTCTCCTCCCCACAACAGTCACCCTGTGAGGTAGGCGGGGCTGAGAGAGCTCTGACAGAAACTGCTCTTTTTCAAGAACAGCTCTTATCAGAACTAGGGCTCGCCCAAGGCCATCCAGCCAGGTGCAAGTGGAGGAGTGGGGAATCAAACCCCGTTCTCCCGGATTAGAGTCTGCACTCCTAACCACCACACCAAACAGAGCCTCCCCTCCAAAAAGGGCCCACAGGCTGCCTTTGATTAGAAAACATCTCCCCATGTACACCCCACAGACTGGATGCTCTCGGCTTCAGGGATTTCGTTTAGGAGCAAGAACTGCACCCAAGCGTATATGCACAGCAGCCTTAAGATTACAACAGAGGGAATGGGAAGGAAGATCTGCCTTCCCCACCCCATTTCTAACCTCAATCCACAATTAAAGCCGTTACAACTAGCAGCTGCCAGAAAAGAGAAATCGGAGGCTTTACCTGTTTGGACGTTAGTTTGATCAGCGATCCTTCATAACCCTGTGGGAAGAAGCAGCCAGCAAAAGTTAAGTTATCGGACTCCTTAAAAGGACAAGAAAAGCCGGGAGGCTTGCTTGGTGCCCTCAGACAGCACAGCCAAAAGCCAGAAATATTTCTGGGGCCCACTGCAGCTGCTACGTGAACAATGCTCCCCCCTATCCACCCTCTACCACGCTTTACCACTTCAGACTAACGGCAGCGGCTCACAGCCGTCACTCCCAGCGGAGACCCTTTTCGCTGCATTTCTGCATCTGATCCCATCCAGCCTTGAAGCAGAGTCTGGCAAGGTAGCCAAGACCATCCCAGCTATCTCAACCACAAGACCCCAAGTTCAAGTTAACAGTAGCTTCAGAGGGTGGCTGTGTTGGTCTGCAGTAGAACTAGAAGCCCTGACTGGGATAGCCCAGGCTAGTCCAAGCCTGCCAGATCTCGGAAGCTAAGCAGGGTCAGCCCTGACAGGTATTTGGATGGGCAACCTCCAAGGAATATCAGGGGCATGACGCACAGGCAGGCAATGGGAAACCACCTCTGAAATGCCTCTTGCCTTAAAAACAAGTCTAGCTCGCCACCTAGTGGTGCATAACACTAAAAGATCTAGAACTTCTGGCTGCCGGACAACCTTAGGCTCTCCTGGCTATACTACACACAGTGCCATATGATGATGATGATGATGATTATTATTATTATTACTACAGCTGAATCCAGGAGCACCTCAGGAGTTCAACAAGATTTTCAGGGTAGAAGTTCTTGAGAGTCAAAAGCTCCATTTTGTCAACTTATACCCTGAAAACCTTGTTGGCCTCTTAGGTGCAGCCAGGCTTGAATCTAGCCCTTCAAGAGAATGGCTCTAAGGAGCAAAGAACCAAAAGTAAAGCAGCTGAAAAGTGCCCCTTTATACTTGCAGTATACCTTTACACCTGCGGCACTCCAACTAAACCCAGGAACAGGGCCTTCTCAGTTGTGGCACCAAAATGATGGGACCCTCAAGACTTCTTCTGTTTTGTTTGGTGTTGCCTCCCTGACCCTCCTTCTGGTTTATGTGTTTGTGTTGTGAGTGTGTGAGTGTGTATATAATGTATACCACCAGGGCCAGGGCTCTTTTTGTAGAAAAAGTCCAGCAGGAACTCATTAGCATAATAGGCCACACCCAACAGCAGGAACTCATTAGCATATTAGGTCACACAGCTCATTAGCATATTAGGCCGCACCCCCATGTTACCAGAAGTGTAGTCATCCAGCCACACCCACCTTTTTGCTTCTTATTCTGTTTACCCTGTTTGTGGTCAAAACCCAGGGCTTTTCTTGTAGCAGGAACTCCTTTGCATGTTAGGCCACACACCCCTAATGAGTTTCTGCTGTTGGGTGTGGCCTATTATGCTAATGAGTTCCTGCTGGGCGTGGCCAACTTGGGAGCCAGCCGGAACTCCGTTCCTGTGCATTCCTTCCTGCCCAAAAATAGCCCTGGCCAGGGCCCTGTGGGATCATATGTAATTCCGCAGGGCTTACAAGGCAGAGATGTTCCACCAGCCTTTTGCTTGAGGACAGCAATGGTGTTGTGTCGTGGATGGCACCCTCCTCCTCGCCTCTTCCCCTTAATTCTGATCTCACGTTCCCTCTCCCCCTGCTCAGAAAGGGGCCAGGCCGTCCAGAACTGGGATGAAGTTTTTAAGGACGCCATCTGGGATTTCTTTTTAACCTGCTTTTCTCTAATTTGTCATTCTATTTTTGTTATATTTGAATTCTTACTGTTTTGTATATTCACTTTTTGGCTTTGTGCCTCTGTTGTACATCACCCAGAGCCCGGCACAGACTGGAACGGGGCAATTAATAAATCAAATAAATACTACTAATCAGTGTTCCCTCTAAGCTGAGTTAGTGTGAGCTAGCTCACAGTTTTTTAGCCTCCAGCTCACACATTTTTGTCTCAGCTCAGGACGGATGGCTCCAAGAGCAAACTAACTTATGCAGCAGGCAAATCGCTGGCTCAGAGCTTTAATGCCAGGAGCTCACAAAGCAGAATTTTTGCTCACAGGACTCCACAGCTTAGAGGGAACATATAAAATATAATGTTGTTATATTGTATAATTTTAAAGAAACATGCATTTAAAAAATTGTTTTAACACTGACTTCTTACTGCCTTGGGGACCCTGGGTTGGGTGGAAAGGGGGCATAAGTGTTTTAAATAGATAAGTTATATTTAAATTAACCCTTGATCCACAAAGCCGCCAACTTCCTTGTTCTTAAAAGAGAAATACTACTCAGGAAGGAGGATGCCCAGGCATTAGATTTCAGCTGCCACCCTAAACAAACTCAGGCCCGTTGACTTTAAAGGACTTTAATCCCACATTAGAGAGAGGATTTAAAAACACTTCTCTCCCCTTTCCTCATAGTTCAAGGATGGCATTTGTAAGAGGCACACACCCCTTATTAATCCACATATAGGCTTAGTCTGAGGTTTTGTTGCCAGCACTCACCTTGAATGGCCGAAAAAGCAGGTAGAGTTCTCTGGGCTTGATATCCACAGGAAGGCCACTGACAAAGAGTGTCCGTACCTAGGAGAGACGTAACACTGAGCAGATCTAGAGAACACGGCACTTTGGATGGCCAGAACTGACTTCGGGAAGGCCAGCATTCTGGGAAGGGTAGCGGATCTTCCTTCCTGCAGCAAGGAAGCTCAAGACAAACATCTATAACCACTGGAGGAGGTCTTGTTGCCCAGCTCTTGCGCCCCCCCCCAAAAAAAAATCAATGACGTATCGAATTGACACTGCCATGGAGGTACAATCTTGTTTCCCAGATGGGAGAGTTTAGGCTTCATGGAGGGTGGGACCAGCCCCTTGCCAAGAGTAGCCAAGGGGAGCCCCAAGACAATGCCGGCATCCCAGGCCTTGAATCCTTCCTGTGGCTCATGGTCATTTCAGGCTCAAAGAGCTGGGTTTAAGATCTTGGTACGAAGTCTGAAAGTTCCAGCCCTGTTCTGGAGAGCCCAGGCAAGCCCAATCTTGTCAGATCTCAGAAGCGACGCAGGATCGGCCCTGGCCGGTATTAGATGGGGGACCCCCAAGGAATACCAGGGTCATGACGCAGAGGCAGGCAATGGCAAACCACCGCTGAATGCCTCTTGTGTTGATATAACCCCATGGGACTGCCATAAATCGGCAGCCACTTGAGAGCAATAAATAAATACAGGTGGGTTGCTGTAAGCTATTTCAAATGCCAGATAGACTTGGATTGAGTGTTCAGTTGACAACATGGGGGAAAGAACGGCGGTTGACACTCCATTACAAAAGGACCAACCCAACAACCCATCTCTACACAGGGGAGAACGATCCTTCTCTGTGCCATTGGTTTTCTGTTTGGGAAACCAGTGCATGGGACAGAGAAGATCTTACTCTGGAGGAGGCAGTCAAGCCCCTTCTCAAGGCATTTCTAGCAGTTCCCATCACCATAGCATTCCGAAGAGAAGCTTTGTAATCTGCTCTCTTGTACTGTAGGAATAGCGTGTTGCTTCTTTCTTGCATAACTTGCCAACAGACTGTCATCCAAAGCATCTCAGCGTGTGTGTACATAATTTTTAAAGGATGAAGGATAACGGACTGAGATATATGTCAGAGTGATAGAGGTAGCAAGCAGTTACTATAGATCAGTTTGATCTGTTTGTCAGACCTAGCTGTCATGCTAGTAATCATGTAATTACAGCCAGGTGTTTTCTAGCAGGTGTTGCTCTTTCAGGGCTTGTTAGAGCTAGTGATTACATCTCCTTGTTAGAGATTGGCTGGGGTTTAGCATAATAGCTATCAGTTTAGTAAGCTGGATGGGGACTCAGTTCTCATAGACTAAGGCATGACATGCTGTTCAATAGCCTGAAAATATCTCTGTATATATTCACCTTTATAACTATATAAACTCTCTGTGCACCTTCATAACTGGTCAGTCTCCCGCTTCTTATTTACGACACCCAACAGTATTAGCCTTCATGGGCGCTGTGGAACTCTGCAGGAATCAAGACCAGATTTGGCTCGGCATTTGAGACGCTTCCCAGCATTAACACTGCAGACATCCCAAGTGGATGCAAAGTTCATCCATCATCAATGCCTCTTTCCTAAGGAAATGTATTTCAGACTAAGAAATCCACAGGGTCAGCCACGAACACTAGACACACGATTAATACAAGCCAACACATTTAAAGGACAGGTATTTCAGTCCACTCCAAAAAGGCCCACTCCAAAAAGGCCCTGGAACCCCAGATCTAGGTCCTCACGGGTAGCCCACCTGTGCCTTGAAGCAACAAGGAAGAGAAACTTTTGAGAATTAGCACCACACTTCTAGTTATTTGCACGCTGCCAGCAATTACGGCTGCAATCCTTTCTTGGGGATACATCCCATTAAAGTCACTGGAATTCACTTCTACAGGCAGACACATGGGAATTTATGACAGACAGATATGTGGCGGGCGGTAGAAAACACACACATAAGCACTAGTAACTTGAATCTGTGTAAGGCTGAACACCACTCAATCTTCCTCAAGTGCAAATGCCCTAGAATGGGAATCGACACTGGTCAGATGGGACAAAGCACGGCACAGAATTTCTAGGACCTCAGTTGAGCCCTAAACAACTATTTTTCTAGAGCGATGTTTGAGATCCAAACTTCAGCTGTGTTTGGGAACTACTGGATTCGAGGACTCGCTCTTTCAAGGTCAATAGGGCCCTGACCTGGAAGGCCCAGGCATGTCCAATCTCGTCAGATCTCAGAAACTAAGCAGGGCTGACCCTGGTGAGTACTTAGAAGGGAGACCTCCAAGGAATACCAGGGCTGGGATGCAGAGGCAGGCAATATCAAACCACCGCTCTGAAACACTCTAGCCTCACTAGGGGTCGCCAGACGTCACCATGACTTTGAGGCATGCAAGGACACTCACACACACAAAATACTCACACAAAAAAAATCAATAGGGAAATTGCTAAGATACTGTTTTTTTAAAAAATGTGCTGGTTTTTGAGATCCTATAGGAGTGTGTCTGTAGCACCTCTGCATGCATCAGAACCAAGCTGGCTTCCTTTTAACTACGAGACATGTGCACAGACTGATGAAGGCAACGCAAGTGAGGTCTAGTGCAGACTTTGAAAGCATTCTTTGCTCACATTCTTAAACCCAAATAAACTTACTTTCACGGCATGCAAGAGAAGCGTGTCTCCCATTTGAATCCGTAACAAGTGTGCTCCACGTAGCAGATGGCAAGTAATTACTGCTCTGGGACCACCGTTTACCTTCTTGCAATAGCTTTGATTTCCCATGTATTTTGCAATAATGGAGTCAGGCCAAATATCTTTCATAGGTAAAAGGAAATCCAGTTTGAAGATACAGTATTTATTCCCTTCATTTATACCCCTCTTTCTCCCCAATGGGAGCTTACATTTACAACAAAGCAGCTTACATCTGAGGAGAGGAGAGCATTTTATCCTCACAACACCCTTGCAAGGTAGGTCAGGCAGAGTGTGTGTGACTGGCCCCAGGTCATGCAGCAAGTTCCCCTCATAGCAGAGTGGGAAATTTGAACCCAGGTCTCAAACCTGGGTCTCTCAGATCCTAGTCCGACACGCTAACCACGACACAAGCATCTGTGTTCAGTTATCTGAAGCAAATCTTTTAACAGTCCATTCCATTAACGTGTCAGAACACCTTCCCCAGTTCCTACAACAGCAATATTCCAGACCAGCTTCACTTTCAGTGCCCAAGTTCCATGTTGCACCTTCATGAGAAAGCAAACATCCAAAACTACACACGACACACAGATGTCACTGTGCAGATGGAATCAACAGCCGCCCATAGGGAAGCGTGTCAAACGAATGGCTTGAGGGCATTCGTGCTGTTTTCAGTGTGTGCAAACCATTTTAGATAGTTTCATTACATTGTTTATTAGGTGCATCCTGACATCTTTACTACCCTGCTTCCCAATTTTGTTACCCAGTTTTGCAGAATTGTCTATTCTATTTTTGCCATTTTTTTTTTAAAGTTACAATCTGCTTGATCTCTTGATACTGAGGGTGCAGCCATCTCTGGTTTAAAAAAACATGTGGAGCAGGTGATGTGAAAGACATGAAACCTTGGAGGCCAGCTGCCAGAGTAGGCAATACTGACCGGTGTAGACCGATGGTGCGTGGCTTGATAGAAGACAGCCTCGTATATATTCAAGGGTTCTCTTCCCATCTTTGTGACTGTAGTGTATCCAGCCTGACATGTCCGGACATGCCCGGACTGGCTCAGGCACAAACACCACTAGCTTCATGCCAAAAGACAATGGGCCAGTAGGATCCTAGCCAGGCCCAATGAAAGGGCTAGGTCCCCAGCCGGGAGGCCAATAGGTCTCTCGGTTACTGTAAATAGCCTATCGGGAGTGGGGTGTGTGTTTGGTGGCGGGTTTTCTGAAGGAATATAAACTGGCCTGCGAGCCAGCCAAGTGTCTTTGTTCCTGACTAAATAAAGGTATGCTTAGCTGAAATCACTCTCCGTCTGCATACTTTTCAGTGACTGAGGGAGGGGCCTGGTGTTAGTACTACAGCAGTTCTCTCAGAGCTCTCTCAGCCCCACCTACCTCGCAGGGTGTCTGAGGCTCCAGGGTGAAGGGCGGGGCATAACTCCAACTCTTCTTCTTCTTCACGGCACCCACAGCCACCATCTTGCCATAGTGAATGCCCAGTGCTCCCTACTGTAGCAGAGGCCTACCAGGGCCGTTGGCAGTGCCCGGGTCTGCCTCAGGGCAGTAGCCAAGGGCCACTTCCGGACCCTATTTCCCTCCCTGGGCCACGGAAGGAGCAGGGCCACACACGCAACCAAGTTCGTCCAGCGGAGATTTTTTGCCAAAACCCCTGGCCTTACAACAGAGGGACAGTTCAGCCCAGGCATTCCCGGACACCACTAGCCAGGCCTCCTCTGTTATTGTGTTTTTCCCCCCCTTCCCAGAGCAGTTCTGTCAGGCTGCTCCCAGAACACGGGATAAGATGCAGCTGTGGAGGCCTCTTTGACGCCAGCCTGAAGGAATGCTGGAGCTACGGCAGTCGGCTTTCACGCCCGGACTTATAAGGCACGGAGGAAGATCAAGCAGAGCTTTGCAAAACAAAGTTGTAGGAAAGAGGGGAAATGTTTGGAAGGCTCTAAATGGAGATCAGCCTCTTCTAGAGTAAATCTCTGAATCCCAGTGCCAGGAGGCGGCAACAGGGAAAGGCCTCAGCCTCTATACCCTGTTGCTAGACTTCCAAAAGAACTGGTTAGCCACTGTAGGAGACAGGATAGTGGACTAGACGGACCACTGGTCCAAGCCAGCAGGGCTGTTCTTATGTTCTTATCAGGGGAAGGCCTCAGGCTCTATGCCCTGTTGTCAGATTTCTAAAGGAACTGGTTAGCCACTATAGGAGACAGGATGCTGGACTAGACGGACCACTGGTCCAAGCCAGCAGGGCTGTTCTTAGAATGAGAATTTGTCTACAAAAATATTCAAACCCATAGCAGAACTCAGACAACCTCGGGATAAATACTGCCCTCATTTCAGGTA